CGCAACCTCCGCCTCCTGGGTTCAGGCAATTCTCCTGCCTCAGCCTCCTGAGTAGCTGGCATTACAGGCACGCACCACCATGCCCGGCTAATTTTTTGTATTTTCAGTAGAGACGGGGTTTCACCATGTTGACCAGGATGGTCTCTATCTCTTGACCTCATGATCCACCCGCCATGGCCTCCCAAAGTGCTGGGGTTACAGGCTTGAGCCACCGCACCCGGCCAATCTAATTCTTTAATGTTTGAAATTTCATCATAGAGTTGGTCTGTTCTGTGTTTATGAAGTAGAAAAATGTAATATTTTTTGGGGGGACAGAGTCTCTCTCTGTCGTCCAGGCTGGAGTGCAGTGGTGAGATCTCAGCTCATTGCAGCCTCCATCTCCCAGGTTCAAGCAATTATCCAGCATCAGCATCCCCAGTAGCAGGGATTATGGGTGCATGCTGCCATACCCAGCTAATTTTTGTATTTTTCGTAGAGGCAGGATTTCATCATGTTGGCCAGGCTGGTCTCAAACTCCTGACCTCAAGTGATCTGCCCACCTCGGGCTCCCAAAGTGCTGGGATTACAGGTATGAACCATTGCACTGAGCCCAAAAATGTAATATTGAATAGAGGTTTTGTTGTTTAAAATTATTACCCCTGGCTGGGTACAGTGGCTCATGCCTGTAATCCCAGCACTTTGGGAGGCCAAGGCAGAAGGATTGCTTGAGCCGAGGAATTTGAGACCAGTCTGGGCGGCATAGTGAGACTTTGCCTCTACAAAAATTAAGCCAGGCATGGTGGCACGTGCCTGTAGTCCCAGCTAGTCAGGAGGCTAAGGTGGGAAGATCACCTGAGCCCAGGAGTCAGAGGCTGTGGTGAGCTGAGATCACGCCACTGCACTCCAACCTGGATAACAGAGCAAGACCTTGTCTAAAAAAAAAAAAAAAAATTACCCAATCATGAAATCTGGAAATGTTCCCTCAGAGATGGGATCAGGGTGAGGTAAATGTGGTCTTAGGTATGCAATTTAATGGGGCTCCAAAAATTCAGTCAGTAAGATAAATAATATTCTAGTGCAGTTTTTTTTTAAAGTCATAATTAAAGTATTCATGATCAGCAGTGTTAATATTTTAAATAAAGATAGGATCAGCATTACTGATCTTTTCCTCTTCCTCAGGTTCCGAAATGGGTCAGCACAGTACTGTAAATATTTTGCTCATCATGGAGGGTTGTTTTACTTTTATTTTATTTTATTTATTTATTTTTTAGACAGAGTCTTGCTGAGAGTCCAGTCTCCCAGGCTAGAGTGCAGTGGCACTATCTCAGCTGACTGCAACCTCCACCTCCCGGGTTCAAGCAATTCTCCTACGCCAGCCTCCTGAGCAGCTAGGACTACAGTCGCACACCACCATGCTCGGCAAATTTTTGTATTTTTAGTAGAGAGGGGTTTTCACCATGTTGGCCAGGCTGGACTTGAACTCCTGACCTCAAGTGAGCCACCTGCTTCAGCCTCCCAAGTGCTGGGATTACAGGTGTGAGTTACTGCATCTGGCCTCATGTGAGGGTTTTAAACTGTGTCAGCTGAGGGCTCAGCCCCTCTCTTCCACGCACCTGCCTGTCCCACCTTCAGCCCAGATGTGCTGGAGTTGCCACAGCTGGGCCTGGCCTCGGCCAGACTCCCTAAGAGAGGGAGTGGCCAGAGGGAATGAGGGGCCTAGGCTGCCAGGAGAAGGGAGTGATTCCTGAGACCACACAGATGGGTTCATGACTGGCCCTTAGGAAAGGCGAGAACAGCTTCTAGAGTGCTTGTTTGGGGACAAAAAAATATTTTTTTCTGGTGCTCCTGGACAGTTTTCTTGTACCTCAGAAAACTTTCACCTGCTTGTCATACCAATTTTGAAGCACATTTCCTAAGAATACAATCACCTGTTTAACAAGTTGTACTTCCCACTGAAAATACTTGCTGGCTCTCTATTCTCTGGGACTATTCTAGGCTAAACTGCTATGATAAATAGCCCCAAGAGGACAATGGCTCAAGTCCAGTGGAAGTTAATTCCCTGCAGATGTAAGAGTTGGGGTGAGCACTGAGGTATACCCACCCTCAAGGAGGGGCCTGTCCTCCCTGAGCAGCCAGGTAGGGGCCAAGTGCAGAGGAGAGCAGCCTGGCCCCTGGGTAGCTCACATCCCACAGTGACCACGGTTGCAGGGCCACCCCTGACGGCAAGAAAGACTGGACATGTGCTGGGGGTGTGCCCAGAGAGGGAGCCAGGCTTTGGTGGGCAGCTCGCCATTCCACTGGCATCCATCCACTGCCCCTTTCAGTGTTTGGACACGGAATGCTCGCAGGGCTTGTCCCGATGCATGTTCACAGCACAGTTGTTTTGCTCCCTCTCCGTCCAACAGGGGAGAAGCTGGTGCCGGGGGCCAGAGAGGTTCTGACGGAAATATTTAAGAGCTGTGCCCATTCAGAGCAGACGCTGAGCCTGACACCAGCGAAGCCCATCAGAGTCTCTGACATTTATCTTAGCAAAGAGCAGATCAACTCCCAGACCCCAGGCAACCTCCTCCACCTCTTCTTCACCAATGTCCGGCCTCCAAAAAAGGTGCTGGAGGATCAGCTCACCCAGGTAGCTGCCCGTTCCCACCGTGCCCAGGCCAGGCCTCAAGTGCTCCGCAAGGCAAACCTGACAGCCTCCTCCCCACCTCTGTACTCCACAGATCCTGAGGAAGTATGGCGTACCAAAGCCCAAGTTTGACAAGAGCAAGTACAGCAAGGCCGGAAAGGAGCAACACCCCGTGAAGGTGGTGAGCACCAAGCGACCCATCACCAAACCGCCCGCCAAGGACAAGGCCGTGCTCAACAGTGTCAGGTACGTGCCCCAAGGAGCCCGGGCAGCCTGGCCATGGGCAGATGTGGAGGCAGCCTCCAAGCAGGAGCCTTGGGGATGGCAGCTCCTCTGGAGGAGCCTGGTTTCGGGCTTTTTTTGTCATGCTTTGTCACCCAGGCTAGAGTGCAGCGGCCCGATCATAGCTCACTGCAGCTTTAACCTCCCAGGCTCAAGCAATCCTCCCCGCTCAGCCTCCTGAGTAGCCGGGACTATAGGCACATGACACCTCACCTGGCTAAATTTGAAAAATTTTCTCTACAGATGGGGTTTCTTTTTTTTTTTTTTTCTTTTTTTCTTCATTTATATTGTGTCAGATGGGGTTTCACCATGTTGGCCAGGTTGGTCTCGAACTTCTGGGCTCAAGCGATGGGCCTGCATTGCCCTCCCAAAATGCTGAGGTTACAGGCGGGAGCCACTGCGCCTGGTGGGTGCCTGGGTCCCTTCTGGTGAGTGCCTTTCTCAGTCCTCAGCTCCATCAGCTGAGCACCAGAGTTTCATTTTATCCACAGGTGCGGTCAAATCCTGACCATGCAGGCTGGAAAGCCGACCCATCTAAATGAAGACAACATCTAAAATGTACAGAATTTTTTTTAAAACCCTACTTCTTTTTGCCGCACAAATAATGCATAGTTATTGTAGGAAGATTAGAAAATGCGTAACACCTTAAGCCTAGGAGTTCAAGACTAACCTGGGCAACATGGCAAAACCCCAGCTCTACAAAACAATATAAAAAAAATTGCCGACTGTGGTGGTGTGCGCCTGTGGTCCCAGCTACTCGAGAAGCTGAAGCAGGAGGATGGCTTGAGCCCCAGAGGTCAAGGCTGCAGTGAGTCATGATCATACCGCTGCTCTCCAGTCCAGCCTGGTGACAGAACAAGACCCTGCCTCAAAAAAAAAAAAAAAATGCATAGTGCCTATTGGGAAAAGTTAAATTGCCCCATGCATAACAGCCACTTTTAAGTACATGACCTTTGATTTATGCCTATGTATTATTTTCTTAAGTTTTGAATGACTAAAATGGTAGAAAATTTGAAAACATACACAGTGAAAAGCCACTCGACCATTCTTAAGCCTTGAAGTTCCCTCCCTGAGCCTGTAAGGTTGCTTCTCCAGCCTTTCAGAAGAACCCTTTCTGTAAATACACAAGCAATTCTACTCATATGCCCAGTGCTGGGCACCATATACCATGTCCACGCCTTGCCATTTTTATTTAATACTGATTTTGGTGATCATTTCAGACTAGTACAAAAAGAATTCCCCATTCCTTTAAAAAATAGCTACGTAACATTCTAAATGTGGATATGCATATAAATTTAATAGAATATTCTTTAGAAAATGACTCTCAAGTACTCAGAGTTGAAACCTTGATAGCAAAGTATTACCCAGTAAGAGTCTCTAGAGGAACTGTTTAACCAGAAAAACAAAGGATTTTAAAAATTAATTCATTAGGTAGAAATGGCGTTCTTCACTCAGCACTGTCCTGTAGTACTTTCTGTGCTGGTGGAAATCAGTGCTGTGTCTATGTCTGTGCTGTTGGGTGCAGCAGCCCCTAGCCACAACTGGCTATGGGGCATTTGCATTGTGGCAAGGGTAAACAGGAACTGAATTTCTGATTATATTTCATTTTAATTAATTTAACCTTAGGTAGCTACATCTGGCTAGTGACTACCTTATTGAACAATGTAGCTCTAAAATATGTAGAGTGTTTGAAAAGAGTCTCTACAAGATTTGTCACAGTTTAAGGCAGGAATTTGTCCTTGTAATTTGCTCAGCAAACTTTTCTCACTCAGAACAAAGGTGGTCTTGAACCCAGCCCTGTCTAAGCCCTCAGTTGGAGGAGGGGGCAGGAATGAATGCCTGTACTAGACTGTATATTTCCTATCGGGAGTGTGAACGTGTGTTAGTCTAATTCCAGTGCTTTGGTCTACAGCAGGACTGCCTTAAGTGAGAAGAAGCCAACTGTGAAGCCAAAGTCACCAGAAAAGAGCAAACCAGATGAAAAGGACCCAGAAAAGTCACCTACCAAAAAACAAGAAGGTGAATGAGCAGGTGGGGCCTGGAGCAGGCGGGGACCTGCTTCCACCCTGGAGTCTGGGCAGCCTCCCAGGAGCAGGCCTCTGCTTTTCCCGACTGGTTGCTCTCCCACTGGGATGGCCCCTGCTCTGGGCTATGGGTTCCCTGGGGTATCAGGCAGGGCAGCATTTCCAGAGATGCTGGGAAATATTCCTGGCTAGGGATCGCCCCTGGATGCCATCTTTGATGACCATGAACTTGAGGAGGTAAAATAGCAATTCCAGAAAGACTACACACCAAGGGTGAAGAATAGATGATTGTCACTGAAAAGTGAAGATTGGGAAATCTGCTTGGACACTTTCTTCTAGAAGACACTGGCCTGAGCTAGTGGCCCGTGCTGGAGCAGTAGAATGTAAGCCTCCAGAAAGACCAGGCAGCATTAGAGAAGGCTATTCTGTTGTCTGGAAAATTGCTTTGTCAGTCGGGGATGTTTCTGAGTTTCATAGAAAGAGGGGACATGGGGAAACTACAGCCAGTTGAGGGGTTATGGTTGGGGGCGTGGGCACGTGAGGGCTTATGAGTATCCTGTGCACAATGGGTTGCAATGGCAAATGACAGTCTCCAGAGTTACGGGAGGGAGAGGGGAATTAGGTGGTTTGGGCCGTGAGGGAGAGGCTGTGGTGAGAGCACACGCATTGGAGGCACGCGATGTGCACAGGTCTTGCCAGATTCCTCACACTGAACCCTTTCCACCAGTCCCTGAGGAAAAATACCTGACACTGGAAGGATTTCACAAATTTGTTATTGACCGAGCCAAGCAAGACATCCGCAGCGTCTGGAGGGCGATCTTGTCCTGCGGTTATGATCTTCATTTTGAGAGGTAAGAGGGTTACCCTCAACCCAGTTGTCACCTTGCACAGAAATTGTTTTAGCCAAAAGCATAGTATCTGGGGAACTGGTCCATCTCCCCTGTTGATAATGCTTTCTGAGTTACTAATTTCTTTCTGAGTTTTTTCCTAAGTGCTAAATGGGTTTTCTAACCCATTTTTAAACAAACCTGTTCTTTTTCTCCACATGCCTGACTTGGGGACTGTGCTGGTCAGCTCAGGCTGCCGTGACAGGACACTACACACTGGCTGGCTTCAACAACAGAAACGTGTTCTCTCTCAGTTCTGGAGGCTGGAAGGCCCAGATCAAGGTGTCAGCAGCGCTGGTTTCTCCTGGGGCTGCTCTCCTTGGCTCCTGGACTGCCACCTTCTCAAGGTCCCTTCATGGGGTCTTCCCTCAGTACCTATCTGTGTCCTACTCTCCTCTTCTTACAAAGACACCAGTCCTGTCTGATTAGGGGCCCATGCTAATGACGTCTTTAACCTTAATCACCTCTTTAAAGGCCCTATCTCCAAATACAGTCACACTGGGGATTAGGGCTTCAACATACGTATCTGCTGGGGGACTGGGAGAACACAGTTCAGTCCCATCACAGATAGTTTCTCACCCCAAAGAACCTTGTCCTCAAAGTCACACTTTGCCTTGAGTCTCCATTGCCCTCCCTCTTTCCCAGGCAGGGGCACAGCTAGGACTCCAGGCCTAGATATGGTTTCCCCTTTCTAGCTGTAAGTGAATCCCACACAGTCCAGGAATCACCCTGCCCTGCCCTCCCTCTGACTTGCAAGCATGCATGCACGCACGCACATATACCCCTACCCTATTCAGCCTTGTCCATAGGAAGTACACCTGGCATCAATCAATGAAAATGGCTACCAGGCCAGATGCGGGGGCTCACACCTGTGATCGCAGCACTTTGGGAAGCTGAGGCAGGCAGATCATGAGGTCAGGAATTCGAGACCAGCCTGGACAACATAGTGAAACCCCATCTTTAAAAAAAATAATACAGAAATCAGCTAGGCCTGGTGGTATGCACCTGGAGTCCCAGGTACTCAGGAGGCTGAGGCAGGAGCTTGAACCTGGGGAGTGGAAGTTGCAGTGAGCCGAGGTCACACCACTGCACTCCAGCCTGGGTGACAGAGCAAGACTTCATCTCGGAAAAAAGAAAAAAGAAAGTGGATACCAAGCTCAGGTGCAGTGGCTCATGCCTGTAAACCAGTACTTTGGGAGGCCAAGGCAGGTGTATCACCTGAGGTCAGGAGTTCAAGACCAACCTGACCAACACAGCGAAACCCCGTCTCTACTAAAAATACAAAAATTAGCCAAGTGTGGTGACGCATGCCTGTAATCCCAGCTACTGGGGAGGCTGAGGCAGGAGAATTGCTTGAACTCGGGAGGTGGAAGTTGCAGTGAGCCGAGCCGAGACTGCGCCATTGCACCCCAGCCTCGGCAACAAGAGTGAAACTTCCTCTGGGGAAAAAAA